CAATAAGCGACCTAGTTCTAATTTGAGCTTGACATGTGCTTATGTCTTTAGCACATTTAAAGCTTTTTTTCTTTTTCCAATAAACGTACCAAGGAAAAAAAAAATGTAAAGACCGTTATAAAGTTTATAAGAACATATTGAGTAATGATTATGATAAATGGCTGCCATTTTGAATAATTATTAGTCAATTATTAGTTGATATTACGTAACTACTAAAAATTTCATCTTTATTCAGTTAGAGATTGTTGTCCCGAATCCAAAAATATATGGTTTCTAGGGTCTTTTTTAAATACTTTTTAAGTAAAAGCACTTTTTAAACACTCCTCTAAGACTTACGATTTTAAGGCGACAAGTTTTATCTCACTTTTATTTTTTCTTCTTTGTTCATTTTTTCCACAAAAACTTCAATAACTTGGCTTAGAATTGACATACAGGCATGAAAGAGGTACCGTTGGAAAGAGCTTTTCAATATGTATGCAGCTGTACTGGTTTTATAAGGAAAAAATGATTTTGAAAATTTGACTAAAGTGGCTACTTCTTGCAATAACAGTCGCTACTTGGACGGCGACGGCCGCTTAGTCGGAGTTCAGTCCCCCGAATGCAGTGCAATTACGGAGTAAAAAGGGAACGACACAAATGACATAATTAGGGCTAGGGTTAGGGGAAGGTTTGGGTTAGGCTAATGTGAGTCGCAGTGTGTGGTCTAGACACCATGTTGAACTCACTGTGTTTTGTTATTCGTGCCTTGTCCACTCCGTAATTGCACTGCAGCCAGGGGACTGATGACTGAACTCCGACTAAGCGGCCGTCGCCGTCCAAGTAGCGACCGTTATAGTTATTGCAAGGAGAACCATTATTATCTTTATTTTCTGACTTAATACTAACGAGAATTATTTACAATGAATCATTCATTGTTTGCCATATGTCTTAGCTGTTTTCTAAGAGTTCGTTTTCACTTTCATTCAAATTTGTGAAACTCAATCAATGTTGTCTTATGTTTGTTTGTTTTTTTTTGTTTGTTGTTTTTTTTACAGATTTTAATTTTAGTATTTTAGACAATATTATAGAATCAAGAGATGTAAAGTCTTAACTTAAGAAAGATGCTAAATACACAGAAGTTGGTTAAATTTTAGAATGCAAAGCCAAATCATATAAATGATGATGAAATAATAATAATATTATTAATATTAATAAGTAATTAAAAATACGCTAACTTACGGACTTGCGGTACTTACCGGTACCGATATGAGAAGTTCCCTTCATGGAACTCACGAATAAACTGCTTAAAACGACGTTTCACTTGCTGCCTATCAATTTGCGCTTCGTCTGTCTGATCGTCCGGTCCAAAGTTATCACTGTAAAAGATACCTGCATCATCGAAGCCTGGTTCCATCTTGACAACAACAAACAATAATATTCTGTCTAAATCCTTCCCAAATCAACAGAAACGACAAGGCGCGGATGTTTTCCCGCACTTTCTGATGCCGGAAATCAGAACTGCTTCTTTATACAAAAGGATCGCGTTTTACAATCTGCACAATAATAATAAAAATAATAATAATAATAATAATAAATTAGGTTTGGGGATAATAATTATATAATGATGGTCTATTTTTTTATTATCTGCCTCTAAAATCCCATGAAACATCAGTCAACATAAGCTAATGCTTTGCAGATTTTTTTTATGCAGCCAGAGGCTCTGTGACCCAAAAAGCGCTTAGATCCCTTGAATGGGATTTTTTTGAAAAACCCAGCTTCGCTAAACAAAAACCCAAGCATTACATAGCCCCCCCCCCCCCCCCCGATTGTTAAAATGTGCAAAAGTTATAGTTAAGAAACGAAACATTTACCACTTTTGTGTAAGGATATATTTTAAAAAAACACAAATTTCCCTGAGGCCTCTAAGATCTGGGGAGGGGGGGGGGGATGGGGAACCCCAGCATTTGCAGCCCTGATTGTGCGGGCCCTTTGGGAGCGAGAGAACAGTGCGGAGGCGCAGGGTAGATCATTACGGTCTAAGGAGAATGGCGCTGCGAGGAGTTACCAGCGGATCTGGCCGACGCTCAACACCAAGGGAAAGGATGAGATGGACATACAATCAGACGGTTACTGGTACTATCGGAATTGGATCTCTTCGCTTGCTGCTCAAAATAGGGACTGGGCGCTTATGGGGGTGTCCCGAGTGCTGTGATGTCGATTCTTAATTCAACATTCAACATTCATATCCCTTGAGCCTCCAAACATAGGAAGTGGTTATGGGGTATTATATAATTCTAGTAGATTTAATTGTCCGGCCTTGCCCATGATAGTGAAAGAAAGTCTTATTCTCCCGTCCTCTACCTCATCTTGGTCTCCATCGCTGCCCTATATGTAGGCCTAGTGGAAATAAGGGTCTAACTTAAACCCTATATTTATTATGCCGCCTTCTACTTTACCTTTTTCTTCACCGCTGCCGTTTCCTTATTCATTGACCCTAAGAGCACCAGAGGCATCCCTGTAATACTAACACTAGCATTTAACAGTTTGGGAGACAGACAAACATACTGTCTCAGACACATATAGAGATGCGATTTCATGGAAATATTTCAAGGGAAATGGTCCAATCTCTTTCCGGAGAAGAGCTAGTTGCCCCCGAGAGCGTCGCACACAGCAAGATATCCATAGCTACGCCGACGATCCTTGTGGAATTTCCTAAAAACGGCACTCGTAAACTGAACGGTGCTGCCGTGGAACGAACCCGCGAACTTAAGAGAGCGAGACAAAGTACTTGACCTCCTGGCACGGAGACCTTCCCCCCCCCCCCCCACCCCCCCCCCTTTTTCCATTCAGGAGGAAGGAAGGTGTAACTGACTGGCAGAAATCATGAATGGTGTCCCTTTCTTTTAAACACCTACCCCCCACCTTTCCTTGTCTCACTTGTTCCTTCCCCTTTTTATGTTATGTAAATCTGTTGAACACAATCATCTACAACACGACTTAGACGCATACAAACTGCAACACATTTATTACAGACGTACAGTACTGCAGTTCACAAGCTGCCACCATTCGGATGAGAATCCTACATTCACAAGTCCCCACGTTCAACCGTTCGCTGCTGGGTCCCAAAATTGTGTTTATGTTAATCAAGTGATCTTCTTAAGCGAATTTGTGTTATCGAGGTTTTACTGTAATATAAAGTCAAGGTTCTTTCGTAATATCTTGCCCCAGATGAAGTCACAGAGCAGTCCAACATTTTAGAGGGTGGTAAGACTGGGTTTCCCGGCTTTCTGGTACCTTGAACGACCCCAAAACATCAAGAACTGATCCTAACCCTAACCAATCTATGTCCCACTAGAGAGTGCAGCCTAGGTCCCACGACTGCATGCAGCCTATCTACCACTCCCTGAAATATTAGACTGTCTCGTGACCTGTGGATTTACCCTGTTTGGGGTAGGATATTGAGAAAGCACCGAAATCAACATTAATATTAATTTTAATTTGTTTTCCCTATGCATAGAATGAAAGTGAAGCCTAACTAATTGACTTTGACAGCTTCAATAATTTGAATTAGCAATATGCTAATTATTGTAAAGTCTTTTGACAGATAACTTTAATATTTATTTCATTCAGCTGTCTTTCAGTGAGGCCACAAATCCCCCCTTCCCGCTCCTTATCATGTTTTCTTTGTGTCGGTGCCTGTTTGAAGCTACTGAATTATGCAGCCGGTCTCACGTTAGACCTCTTTTCACGCCTCTTTCGTATAAATGGCACGTTAGTGTTACCAAGAATGCTTTCCTCCTGGCAGTAAGCAGTTGGTCATCGTCGTTTTTTTTTTCAGCCCTACGGCTATAGACACCTTCTGATGTCTGCAGAGACTGCCACTTTTTTTAAAGACATTTTGTGGTAAGTACCGAAGCCTTTTTTTTCTAGGAGAAAGCCTCCAACCCCTATCCCCCCTCCCCAACCCTACCCCACCCCGAATGTTACTGTTATTTACTTCAAAGGTCCTATGAGCTTAAGTAACATATGCATGCTTTACATAAAAACAGGCTTCAAATGTAAACATTAAAAGAGTGATAGAAATTACAATTGTCAGTCAATTTCTGTCTGTTAAGGATGTCAAGAGTGTTAAGCATATGACATCACGGGGCGGACGAAAAGGGTGACATCATAATGATATTTTCAAGATGGCAGCCTCACATTTGCCATGCACTAAAGAGGAGCAGCGTTCTGTTATACGTTTTCTGATCAGTAAAGGGTGAAACCTGTAGAAATTCATCGACGAATGAAGGTCCAGTTTAGTGATGCATGCCTGTCAGTCCAGAAAGTGTATGAATCTAGCTTAAAATGCGTCATTATTTCCCTCCTGAAGTAAGCTGCCATGGCATCCACCTTGCAGACACCCGTCGGTACTGTAAAACATTGCCTTTGATATACAAACCTTGGCTGATGTTAAGATGTCACTCACAGTCATTCTGCGGTTTGCCTGCACGAGGCCTTCAACGACTGCAGTCGACTCTAGGATCACTGCTCAGGCTGAACAGTCTGTGGTGTGTCAGGTTGCCTTTCTTGTGGCCGTGCCTTTTCAGTCAACTTTCTTAAAACTGCCTGTTGCCTATCTTTATTTTGTAAGAAAAGGTACTTCAGTCTCTGCTAGAGACTGAACCTAGAATGAAGTCGACCAGTTGTTTGGAGTTTCTCCCTTCCAGGGTTGTAGTCCGCAAAATTAACATCTTTAGGCAGAAAAACCTATAGGTACAAATCCAGTAAACATAATTTAACCGCAAGGTTATGTTTGGAAACCTAAGGGGCTGCGTGGTCTCGAAGCATAGTTTCCGCCTCGAGTGCTAGACGTTCTTGGTTCAATCCCCCCTAAGAGCTGAGGTTTTTTCACGTGGACTTGGTCTTCTAGTATTTCCCCTGGCCTCTGGGTAGTGAGATCAGACGCCCGTGTGCATTGTATTGCGAAAGTACAAAAATTCCATAGCAGTTGGAAATCGAAAAGAGTAGACTAACGGCGCTGCCCGGGCAAAATTTGGAGTTAAAAATCTACCCAAAGTATTTCAGGATCCTCACCGGTGCTACAGAGACTGTGCTGAGCTTCTTTGGACTCAGACTTGAGTTAGAAAAAGAACGGAGCACTTATGGGTTACTACCCGTGTGCTATGATGTTGATCCGTTGTTCAAACTTCAAACTATATACTAGGGCACCCAATGGCAAGACGTAACCTAAAACCCGGAAGGTACAGGGATACTCGTTTAAGTAAGTGATCGATTTATTTATACGTGCTGACCACTACAGGTCTGTAGTTTTAAAGCACATGTATCTGTGTGAACGTCTTCGACTAGCTTTAAACAAATGCATGCCTGGTCAGATTTTCTATTGCAGTGTAGGATTTTGTCTTGCGAAAATGTGTCATTAAGGTTTTTGGAGTCGTATTTTTATTCCATGAGAACGCATTAAATTGCGTAACAATGATACAGTTGTACAACAAACTGGACGGCCATTTTCTTCTGTTAAAACAATACTGGAAAACAAGTAGTTTTCTGCACCAGAAAATTCAAATCCACGTTTGTGTGCCAATATTTGGAAAGAAACATCAGGAGTCAGTCTCGACAAAAGGAAGTGGAAAGGGGGTGGGGGAGGGGGGTAGAACTAGGGAGGATGAGGGGAAAAGAAAAGATTAGATATTTGTTTCTAACTGGTTAAATGGAACTAAAATTACGTATTTTCAGCTCTGAAGCTATTTCAGTTTTAATATACACCAGTGAAAGTTTGAGAACCACTGAAGACATTGAACGAAAGTCAAATACGGTTGAAAATAAATGCCTTAGGAAAACGATAAACATAATGGGGGTGAATTCAAGAGAATTGAAGAAATAAAAGAAAGGTCTGGAACAGTCACTGGTAGCAAAGTTAAAAGATTAAGAAGATGGCGCTACATTGGACATATCTTGAGAAGAAACTAGCAGAGAATCATAAGCAGGCACTGAATTATGAAATAAAAGAACTGGCGAAACGAGAACGTCCAAAGAAAACTCTAAAACGAAGGTTAATAAGCGAAGTCAAAGGGGATGGACTGAATCCCATTCAAAGATATCGAAATGACTGCACTGGATGAACGCAATAGAAGAACATACTGTGAGCCTTATGTGACATACACTGACACAACAGGACAATGATGATGAAATCTTCCCAAACTCACGCTATTAGAGCCATGTCAGAAAATGTAGCAGTACAAGAACAGAAGATTCAGGGCAGACAGGATCATCAATGCCAAAAAGGATGGGTTATAAACAGGTTTGGATTCATGACAAGAAAGAACATCTGTATCAGCAATGGCTAGCAGTACACACCAACAGTGAGTCGTGGGCAGGTACCACGATCCACACCACACAACGTGGACGATTAGA